TCGTGATGAAGACAATGTTCAGTAACAAGGATAGAACTTTACACGTTCTTTAATGATTACCTAAGTTTGATGTGGTATTTATCAAATAGTGTCAATCTAAAGGATTACACGTTTAGGAATCACCTATGTAAGTGTGAAGTGGAAGCCGCTTCAATGAGAATTCTGTAAGGCCAATTCTCTACGCACTTATGAAACCAGGCGGTGTTCATGGCTGAAACGAACACAACAATGAGAACCAAAAGACGGTTAAGGGTTGGTTGTGTGACATATGGTTGTCTAGGTATACACTAAAGTTCGACGGTTCAAAGATATCAAATCTACCGATTGACCGAGTATATCCGACATATGTTTACTACGGAAAGTTCAAAGGGAAAGCTACTTATCCAGATGCGATTAATCCTTACTTGCAAATCACACAGCTTTCATCTATGATCATTCTTGTTACAGCCATTCCCATTCATGTGGGGGATTGTTGGACTTTAAAGGCATTGAGCTTCAAAGATATTAAGCATTGGGCTTTAAAGTATAAGAGTGTGAATTGGAAATGGTGGGAAATAAAATGGAGGGAAATGAAAATTTGAATGAAGTGAGCTTTTGACTTGCACTTTGTCCCTCATTGGTGAGGGACAACTACATTTGTGTGCTTATATATAGAATCACTTCTTAAAGCTCTTAAAAGGAGTTGAAGAGAATGATCCCTCGCGCCGTCGTCGCTCGCTCGCTCGGCTCGGCTTCGGCTTCGGCTTCGGCTTCAGATTCGGATTTGTCAAATGATCGATCGATAAGAGTACCCTGCTGCAGATTCAGAGGGCCACTCTGGCCGCGGTCCTGGCGTAACTTCTGAAAGGCACCTTTCCAGACAACATCACACCTCTCCAATATTGCCTATAAATCTGAGGCATAGCTCGTTTTTTACACTCCAAAAACATTACAGAACTTCTTCTTCTGNTTAAATGCCAGATCACTGCTGAAGATTCAGAAGGATAGTCTGGCCGCGGTCCTGGCGTAACCGCAGTAGGACCGCGCCAGAACCCTGCTGCAGATTCAGAGGGCCTCCCTGGCCGCGGTCCTGGCGTAACCGCGGTAGGACCGCGACAGGCCGCGTAAACTTCTAAAAAGGCACCTTTTCCAGAACAAACATCACTCCTCTTCCAATAATTGCCTATAAATTTTGAGGCATGGCTTCGTTTTTAACACATCAAAAACATTACAGAACTTCCTTCTTTCTGAAAATACTGCATTCTAATTCGCAGTCTCTCTCTCTCAAATTCGTAAGTGTGATTTTGCTCCGTTCTTTAAGTTCGTTGGTATCCTGCAGTTTGTATTGCCACTGTTGCAGGAAGGTTTATTCCGTTTTATCCTGGGAGGATTTAATCCATTACCTTGGCAACGTGTGAGGGGGTTAAAATTCCTTAAGGACACACAAGCAAATTGTGGACTCGGAATATTTCTTATTCTTTACTGTTTTTCCAGTTTCTTTTATTCTTCTAACAGTTTTATGATTTTGTGTTTTAACACAGTAGCGCGCAACAGTAACATGATTAGTAAGGATCGTACAATCAACCCCAACTTGTTCGGGTCTGAAGTTTAACTGTTGTTGTAGTATTTTTTTCTACATAAAGAACATATGAAAAAGTATATCTCTTGCTCTGCTTTCCCTAATCAACTTCCAAATTGGAGTAACGCCCCTTTTTTCTGAAATTTATCATTTAACTCTAGACTTTGCTCGTTTTGCCCTCAATTTTTTTGAAATATATGACTAGTTTTCACAATGTTCTATAGACATAGCAAAAATAATACTGTGTCAAGAATAGTATAGTACAAGAAGGAAAAGTTTCAATTTGCATGTTACTGTACAATACAAGGAGAATCAAATAGTACTATTTATCAAAGGGAACGTACTATATCATGTGATCACTTATTCTAAATCCAAAGACTCTAATATAAATTAGTGGCTAAACAATAAAAAGAAAAACTACTTAATACAAAGAACAAATAGCACATATCTACAAAATTTTCCGGAAAAAAAAACTTCTCCTTTTTCTCTTAACACAAGAAATTAACATGGCGATGAACAATATCAGTCAATTTTCTGGTTCTGATGGTGCAATAGTATTACATAAACCTCGTATACCTCCTTTCTTAACGAAGACATATGAAATGGTGGATGATCCGAATACGAATTCTATTATTAGCTGGAGTTTAACTGGTACCAGTTTTATTATTTGGGATCATATTAGACTATGTTCCCAACTTCTACCTCAATATTTCAAGCATGAAAATCTATCTAGCTTTATTTACCAACTCAATAACTATGTAAGTTACCTTGTTTATTTTGTTACATTTTTCAATATAACAGTGAATCTTATTTTAAATGTTTATTGTATATTATGATCAACAGGGGTTCAAGAAGATTGGACTGCAAAAATTTGAGTATGAACATTATTGGTTTCAACCAGGGAAAAAATACTTGTTATCTAACATAAAGCGACGAAATCAAAATCAGAAAATTCAAGAACATTGTTATCAAGAAAATTACTATAATGGGGTAGAGACAGAGTTGAGGAGCCAGAGAGATTTCAACGTTACATTGATGTCAGAAATCGAGAAGATGAAGGAGAAACAAGACGATTTGGCTAATGGAATCGCGTCGTTGAGGGAATACTTAGAAAAATCTGATGCTAAATTTAGGAAACTTCTCTGTTTCTTGGCAAAAGGAATTAAGCAAGTTGTAATGCAGCAGGCAATGAAGAAAGATGAGCAAACAAAGAAACGTAAAGTAGAGGATATAGCAGAAATTTGCAAAAACTTAGTGGAGAAGAAGATGGATGCTTTGGTAGCTATTAAACAAGTACATGAAATCATGCAGAAGATTGAGATTGAGAAGAAAAGTGGATGATTTCTAGTGTTCTTTTGTGTTGGTAATTGTTTTTTTTACAGTACGATTATGTTTAGCTATTATGTTTGAAGTTTATTTGTTCTTTTTTGTTTTTCCTTTAGTTGATTAGTTTAGGGTTTAGTTAAACTTGCTATAGTTTGATGTACATAATTATTGAAACTTTTATATATGATCAACTCTATAGATATATGTGTGTGTGTGTTTGTGTTAAAGTTAAATATTACTCTAATTTCAAAATTTTGTACTTCTTTTCCAATATGTAGCAACAGGTTTTGATTCATCTTTCTGGTTGTGTTTGATAACAAAAACGGAAAAGGGCCAAAAATTATCCCTAACGTGTTAAAAATGGCTCACAAATATCTTTCGTTAACCTTTTGGTCTAAAAATACTGCTAACTTTTTGTTTTGGGTTCAAACATACCCCTAAAATTAACGGAGGATATTTGTGAGCCATTTGTAGGAGGCATTTTTGGCCCTTTTCCGTAACAAAAAAGATTATCTTTTGAAAGCAGAAGGGTAATGTACTAAATTAGGATCAAAAGCACTACGATGTATTGTTTGTTGTTAAGGCTTTCTTTTCATCTTTTCTTGAGCAGAGGGTCTATCGGAAACAGCCTTTCTACCTTTAAGGTAGAGCAAGGTCTGCGTACACACTACCCTTCTCGAACTCCACTTATAAAATTATACTAAGTTTGTTGTTGTTATTGTAAGCACTACAATCGAATTTGTAGCCCATATCATGATATTTTCTAACCATAAAAGAACAGCTTTTTCCTCAATATCGATTCTTCTTTTTCAATTCATTTGATAATTGAATAATCAAGAAATGAAAATTTCCATGATCTATTTAAGTAACAGGGCATAACGATAAACTGTATTAAACAATACATATAATCCTCAATATATTTTGCAAATCAAAAAGGCCATTAAAAGAAAATTCAGAAACACAAAACTAACTAGAGCCAAAGAAACAAAATAACTCAATTATTCAACAGTGCAAATACATCAAAACACCATGAATAACATGCAGAGTAAAAGGGCAGCCTGGTGTGCACAAAGCATCCCGTACTCACGTAGAAACAAATTTACCGTTGCTCCAAGGCTCCCTTCAAACATGCAGAGTACAATAACCAAAAAAACTAAAGAACCAACATAACATTAGACCTAAAATATCCATAGACTCTAATGTAGAGATCATTATTTCATTAATCCCCACATCCAAAAAAATTCCTTTTGCCTATTGTACATTAAATAAATTGATATTACTATAATAATCTAATTAACAGTATCATCAATTTCAGGACCTTCAAAAGCCCAAGGAGCATCATTAATAATCTCTTTCTCTTCTTCTTCAGTAAGATCATTAGTAATCTTTAACATCTCACGAACTGCTCTAACACTCTTGTTCTTCAATCTATCAGCTGCAGATTGACAACATAATTCCATCAACTCGTGAATGTTCAAATAATTTGCTGCCATTATTACGTCGAAAAGCTCTTCCCATCCCATGTTTACGAATTTCTCGTCGAATTCCTTGAGATCTTCTTCCTCACCTGTAGAGGTAGCAATATCAACCCATTTATTTGTAACTTGTCCGAGCTTAAACAAAAGACGAGACTTTATTAAACAAGCAAGAAAGACTCTTTCCATTTTATTAGTCAAACGCCAACAAGCAAGAAAATGGATGCGCTAAGAAGCAATGACTTTTGTAGCTGGTACGGTCTTGCTTCTTGTCTTATCTTACTTAGTAAAGCAACCTCGCACACCTTTTCTCGCTTTCCGAAAATAGAATATATGGAAGTTGGTAAAGACTCAGTACCCTTGTTTCAGTTAGAATGAGTCTGCCGATATCATATGGACATTGGCTTCTGCCATTGGCGGATCTACATGGAACTATATGGGTGCTTAAGCACCCATTGTCTTTGACTATGATTAGCAGATTTATATAGCAATTATCAAATTTTTAAGATAAGTATCGGGTGAGCACCCATCAGTAAATTCTTTTTTTCTTTTCTTTTAGAATTTTTATCGACGAGCACCCATGACTTTGAAATCCTGGATCCGCCATTAGTTCTGCCACCAGTGAACTATTAAACGGAATTGGTTATGACTCATTTATTGATTTAACCCGACAGGTTCAACTCGAAATGACCATCGAAATTTGGGAGAAATTCAAAAATAGCCAGATTTACAAGTGGTATTTGAAAAATAGCCACAGTTTCAAAAGTAATCAAAATTTAGCCACTTTTCATGTAAAGATAAATCTGAACGAAAACACTGTTCAAAATCCGAAAAATATTCCAGCATAACATACTGAAGTTTCAGTATAATATACTGGACTTCCAGCATAATATACTGGTCCAGCATAATATGCTGGAAGTTCATACACAGGTGCACCAATCTCCAGTATATTATGCTGGAACTTTACGTGTGCCGCAAAATAGTGGCTATTTTTCAATGACTTTGCAAACACTGGCTATTTTTCAATTACCAGTCCGAAAACTGACTAGCTCGTGCTATTTTCACTCAAAATATCAAGTCAAATGGGCCAAAATAATATAACCTGACGGGTCAAAATCCAACCAAACCCAAACATTAAGGATCAAATTTTGAGATTACAAATTATACCAATTAGGAAAAAAATTTGATACTTGTGTCAATTTGGAGACTGAGAATTGTGTTAATTTGAAAGAATTATATCAAGAACCTAAAAGGAAAAAAATTGAGTCATGTCGGGCACCTTAAGTTATGACCAATTATTGTTCCATTTTGACCCAAATAAACTTTGTACGAGTTGGATTATAACTCATCTGTTACGCTCAAATTGACTCAACTCACTCATTTACCAACTTTACTCACCTGTTTCCGCCTCCTTTCCTTTGTCCTTGTCCTTGTCCTCGTCCACGTCCTCGTCCTCGTCTTCGTCCCTAGTAATATGCTTGTTGAGATACTCAATGACTTTGCTTAGGGTAATGCTATCAATATTTGGAAGTGGAATAACACTAGTAGCGCATCCATCTTCAATCATGTTCTTGATCATTTCAGATTGATTTACTGCAGCTTCTTCAACTTCAAATTCCTTATCATCATTTGATTTTAAAGTCACCATTTTCTTGCCTTCGGTTGCCATAATTAAATTAGAGCTTTTCTATATTTTTCAGACAAAAAAAGAAGAGAGAAATATGAATGAAATGCAGTGAAGTGTTATGGGATTTATTATTGGTATATATGTAGGTTACAAAGTCCCGTAAGTAATGGATCATGTTGATCAGAAATTGACAAAAAAACGTAACGAATTCCGAAAGACCAATTCATATTTGGTTTGAAATTGGGTGTCATTTTTTTTAGTTCTTTTACGGACAAGATAGATCGTGAATTAAGGGACAAAGACCTTAATTTTGTTTTTGTGGTTTTCATTTTCTTTTTTAATTTTGTCATTAGAGAGAGGAGGATTTCACTTTAGATAAGTGCTACTTATTTAAACTCCCACTCTTTATAGAGTAGGAATAATTATGCATACAATAATAGTAAATGAGTGATTGAAAATTTTGTCCTTATCTCTATTTTAGAGGATATCTCTCGTAAATAATATTTTTAGACGTTTCCCTCTGTAATCTGTATAATAGGTGAATTCCTTTTTAGCTCATCGTTTTATTCGTTGAGTGCATTTAAAGTTGAATTGTTACTATATATATATAGAAATATGTCATTCTTTTTGGGACTGACTAAAGGGAAAAAAAATATGTCATATAACTTAAGGAGGATGGAGTAATTTTGTACAACTTAACCCTAAAGTTGATTTTTCTGGTCAACGCGACCAATTACTAGAGTAATTATTGTACGGGGTAAAACTGGTTTGTAACAGATGGTTGAATGACAGCATGACACGTGGAACCGAAAGCAAAAAAAAGGCAAGTCAAGCAATAACCAATACAGGACACAACAAATATAATCGACATCGAGTAAATTCCGAAGCGAGCACATTTAACGGGAGGAAATTAAGGGTTTTCCATCGAATAGCATTCAATGAGGGAATATTCTCTAACATTAAATGAGCGACCGTTGCAGAGAATATTTGCATTCATGGCAATGTCGTTACATATGACTGTTTTATTATCATTTAAGAGGAGTTTGATCCTAGGATCTTGTTTCTCTAGGTAAAGCTATAAATAGCAGGCTCAGCAGCTATTGAAACAGACGCAATTTTCTGCAAACATAAGCGATATTTTACTTCTGCTCTCAATTAAACAATTTTATTTGCATTTTATCATTACTTTCACTTTTGTCCTCGGAGGCATTGCACCCGGAGCCAGACTTGTCATCTTCTCCAATTTCAATTGCTGAATCTCAGTTTAATCTTATTTTTTTAATCATTTTTCGGATCAAATCAGTTCGTTTGTCTATAAACCACGTAACAAATTTAACTGTACCATTTTACGGGTAAACAATTATACCTATGATTCTTGAAACACAAACTCGTAGAAGTATTTTGATAATCATGAATAACAACAACTATTAACATGATAGATCTTAAATACTCTTGCCTTATGTTTTGATGATCTAACAAACTTACTATTGAGAACCAGATAGGGAACCTGACCTACTTGAATTGCTGTAAGCTTTAACGAATTCCGACTAAAAGTGAACTGCTACAGCTTCAGGAGCTGGGAACCAACACAAGGACCTGATGCTCTTGTGGTTTCCTCATAGCAGTACAAAGTCATTGGGACACAGCTGGAAATGAAGTGACTGACGGCACTATTTCTGCCCCACCGCACTGCACTGTCCGCCCACTCATTTTCTAACCAAACAAAGTACTCACATCACTTTAAGTGATGTGATCAAGATGTACCCACAAGGAGCTTTATACAAAACATGACTGGAAGGCTTCTATTTCTCATTCAAGTCTCTCGCAAAAAACAGAAAAATCAATCCTCACAAGCTTGAAGAACAAGGTTGAACACTACTACGGACCAGTTCCTAAAAAGATAGATTGTTGTTGTCCTAGTTGAGTTGTAACCTTGTAATTGTACTTACTGTATCTCCTAAACTGCTTACCTAGAAGCATTTTGATTAGGAATCCTCTTGTAAATTCGTAAACTCCTTGAGTTTATGTTGTGACTAAATTTAGTCATAAGGAAATGTCTTTGTAATCGTAGAGTTACAAAGTGGCTTGTGGTGATAGCATCACAAGTTAGAAAAAGCCTTTGTAACTAGGATAGTCACAAAGTGGCTTGTGGTAAAGGTACCACAAGTTAGTTGAGTAAATCCTTTGCAATAGGAAGTATTGTAAAGTGGCTTGTAATAGGTAGATTACAAGTTAGCGAAGTTAAAAGCCTACAGGTGTAGGTCGTGGTTTTTTGATCCCCTTGTGTGGGATTTTTCCACGTAAAAATCCTCTGCCTCATTTACATACTGTTTTATTAAGTACTCTCAGTAGAACCTTATAGAGGAACAGGTACTCTACGATTTGGTGGACCCATACAAACTAACAATTGGTATCAGAGCAGGTTCCTCCTATCAGGCTAACACCTAGGAAGGATCCTCATGGAGGCTTTTGAAGAAAGTCAATCCATATACGACCCACCCAAGTTTTGATGGTAAATACTATTGGTGGTGGAAAGCTAGAATGCATGATTTCATCATGGCTGAGGATTGTGAGCTTTGGGATGTCATCTGTGATGTTCCGTTTGTTCCAATCAAGGTACTAAATGAATTTCCATTTTCAATAAAAAAAAACCAGCAAAGAATACACTGAAGCAGACAAGAAAGCAGTGGAAAAGAATTTTCGTGCCAAGAAAATTCTGGTATATGGTTTGGGACCTAAAGAGTACGACAGAATCTCTACATGCGACACTGCAAAGGAAATATGGGAGGCTCTGCAAATAGATTATGAGGGAACTACACAAGTAAAACAAGATAAATCTAATACCGATGATAGTTCCACAATGGCAGTTGAAGGCGGGGAGATTGGATATGACTCAACGCTTGCTTTGATGGCTCAATCAGATAATGATGAAGACAATGGCAACGAAGAGGTAAGCTTCGGGGATATTCAGAAAAATCTGAAATCCTATTCTCCAAAAAAAACTCATGTGTTTAGTTGATATTTTAATTACTGCCTTTTGTAGTCTTGCGGAGGATAGGGATTCCTTGATCTTAGAACTAGAAGAATCTGAACGCACTAGTGAAGACTTAGTGGCTGCAGTTACTGATCATAAGAAAACCACTGAAACCCTTAGAAAAGAAAAGAACAATTTGTTGGCAGAAATTACAGACCAAAGGGAAACAATAGTAAAACCATCTACTAAGTTTGAACCTGAAAGTTCTGTAGGAGGAAAGGAGATAGCAAGTGAGGAATACCTTAGGCTTGAAGATGAGGTGAAAGCTTTGAGACGTAGGATGAGTGCTGAAATTGAGAAAAACGAGCTCCTCCAAGAAAATCTAGAAAAAGTAATGAATGATCTTGAAAGGTCTCTAAAGTGGACCTGATCCTCCGAAGCTACCACTGCCTTACTTACAAATGATAGTAAAAAAGGGCAGGGAGCAGGGTTTCAAAGGGAGAAAACTTCTCACAACCCTCACAGTAAGAGCGTCATTGTATCTGATAATTGGCCTCGTACCCAATGTGGGAACAATAGGCGCTTCAAGGAAGGTGTCCAGGCCAAGAATCAATCAGTTCAGAAAGACAAAGTGGCTGCTGAAACCGTGACCACAAAAGAGGAACCAGGTTCCACTCACAAAAAATGCACATTACCTGCATGGACCAAGAGAGCTCTTCTTCATCCTCTTGCTTACTATAAGGGACCCAAACTTGTTTGGATTCCTAAAATTAACTCCTAAATCTCTTGTGCAGGGAACAGTGAAAGGAAGCGATCAACAATGGTTCATGGATAGTGGATGTTCAAAACACATGACTGGGAACACCACAGACTTTCTTTCACTAAAAGCCTTGCAAGGAGGGAGTGTATCCTTTGTTAATGGCAAAAAAGGGTATATTCTTGGAGTTGGAAAAGTTGGGAAGTCGCTCACTCACTCTATTGAGAATGTGTACTATGTCAATGGGCTTAAGTACAGTCTCCTAAGTGTTTCTCAAATTTGTGATAAAGAAAATAAGGTGGAATTCTTGTCCAAAATATGTACAGTCACTGACCTTGTGACCTGTGAAATAGTACTGGTGGCCAAAAGATACAAGAACATCTATGTTATTGATTTCGAATCTTTACAGAATGGTGATCTGAGATGTCTGAAGGCTGTTGACGATGATGCTGAACTTTGGCACAGAAGATTGGGTCATGCAAGCTTTTCTCTTCTGAACAAACTAATTCAGAAGGACCTGGTCCATGGTCTGCCTGTGTCACAATTCAAAACTCAAAAGGTCTGTGATGCCTGTGCTAGAGGAAAACATGTGAAGTCCTCCTTTAAGTCAAAAAGAGATGTGATCACCTCAAAGCCGCTCGAGCTCCTGCATATGGATCTGTGTGGACCTATGAAGGTGCAAAGCAGAGGAGGAAAGAGATACATTTTTGTGATTGTGGACGACTATTCCAGATTCACATGGACTCTGTTTCTCAGATCAAAAGATGAAACAATTGAGGTATTTGTGGCCTGTGTGAAGAAAATCCAGGTAAAGATGGAGTCTAGAGTTGTTTGCATCAGATCAGATCATGGAACAGAATTTGACAATGTCAAATTTGATGAATTCTGCAATGAAAATGGAATCACTCACAACTTCTCAGCTCCCAGAACTCCCCAGCAAAAGGGAGTAGTAGAAAGGAAGAACAGAACTCTGGAAGAAATGGCAAGAACAATGCTGATTGACAGTGGACTTGCAAAAAATTTCTGGGCTGAAGCTGTCAACACTGCCTGCTATTTAGTGAACAGGTGTATGATCAGATCACTTCTGAATAAGACCCCTTATGAATTGTTGAATGGAAGAAAACCCAAGTTGACTCATCTAAGAACATTTGGATGCTAATGCTATGTCCTCAACAATGGAAAGGATCAACTTGGTAAATTCGATGCCAAGAGTGACGAAGGAAAATTTCTTGGGTACTCTTCTCAAAGCAAGGCTTAAAAGATATATAACAAGCGGACTCAATGTGTTGGGGAGAGTGTCCATGTTATCTTTGATGAATCTTATCCATCATATGAGAAGAGTGCTGAGGAAGATCAAGATGGAGAACCCTTAC